AGAAATCTTTAATAAATAATTAATAAAAAAAATCCACATCACTTGAGAAAAATAAAATGCAACTATTAATGATTTTGAAATGTTGGAGAACAAAAACAGAGACAAGAGCAGCAATACACTCAAAGAAAATATCTGAAAATGACACCAAAGAGATATTTTAAAATGATAAAAATACTGCACTCCTGAGATTAAATAAAACTTGGCCTGTTTCTCAAATGTCTAAGCAGACATGACTGTGTCAAGCAAGATCAATCATATCTGCATAACCTAATTGCCTTTCCTGGAACTAGCTCTTGTAGACCAGGCTGGCCTTGAACTCACAGCCAGCCTTTGCCTTCCTAGTGCTGGGATTAAAGGCCTGTGCCACCTCTGCCCACTTTTTCATAATGGTGGCTCCAACAACTGATCGCCAATGCTGTTTCACCTGCACAGTACACAATAAACTATTCCTCCTATTGTGGTCTGAAGACAGAAGGAACGCTCCATATGTAAATCCTTTTCCTGCAACTGCAATGCATAGTCAACTACATGACTTAAATGCATAATTTTAAAACTGTGAGGTGGTACCATTATTTTTTTTAGGAATTTTGAAAGTCTAATGTACAGGACAGCAAAGTCATTGCCCTGGACAGCAGCAGACCAAGTACACCTGAGTCAACATAAGAGGACTAGTCTCAGAAACTATTTTTCGAACAGGATGGAAATGCAGCTGTTCTAGAATTAATATGCCTTTCCATTGAGAAATCACTTCACACACCTAGGAGATTAATAAAGAAAAACCTCTTTAATGATGGCAGACATCAATCTCTAGCTAATACTCAAAGAGGAGCCAAACAGACAGATTCCACATTTGCTGTTGTACTTAAGTATCCTTTAGATTTTGGCTCCAGGTTACATTTTGAACAATTGAAATAGAAACAGACAACTTGCCAGGCTAGAAATTTAGGCAGATAAGAGAGTTACAAAGCAAAGATATTCTCAGGGTAATTTCTTCATGACACTGGTAACAGGAATCAGCAGGTCATGCTTTAGTGACAGGGTCCTGAGGTGAGGGTCACAGGGGATGAGAAAGATAGAAAAACTAAAATGTAAAAAAAGATAAAAAGCTAGGGTGGGGAGGTCTTGCAGATGCCCAGAAAGCTTCCTAAGAAAAATAGCATCTTGCTGGGCATTGGTGGAAAACACCCTTGCTGGGCCAAGAAATCTCTGTGAGTTCAAGGACAGCCTGATCCATCCAGTTAGTTCCAGAATAGACAGGACATTCCTACAGAGAAACCTTGTCTCAGAAACTTTAAATAAAGGAGAAAAAAAAAATAGCACCAGGCAATGTTGGAACATGCCTTTAATTCCAGCACTTAGGAGGCAGTGGCAGACAGATCTCTGTGAGTTTGAGACCAGCCTGGTTTACAAGAGCTAGCTCCAGGACTGGCTCCAAAGCAGAAGTGAAACCCTGTCAAGAAGAAGAAGAAGAAGAAGAAGAAGAAGAAGAAGAAGAAGAAGAAGAAGAAGAAGAAGAAGAAGAAGAAGAAGAAGAAGAAGAAGAAGAAGAAGAAGAGGAA